TATAAGATATACGAACCAGAGTCCTGGCAGGAGCTTTATTAAGCTCCCGACGGCGGCAGCTCCTCCCCTCGAAGCCGTCCCATCGTGTTTTAAGACTGCGATTATTTTGCCAGTGCCAAAAAAGTCTACAATTGCGGGTCTCAATGATGACTGCTCAGTTGCACTTACATCCATCATTATGAAATGGTTTGAGAGGCTGATATAGGACATTATTAGCTTGGCAGCACACATTCTCCTGTCTGGTAGTCCACCAGGGATTCCAGCCCACACCCTGGTCGATTCTGGGGCTACCACGAACTTCATTGACGAGGTGTTTGCGACCAAGTAGGCTTTCCCACTGTGTCCGGTGGACCCACCGATACTGGTCAAGACCATTGACAGCCGGGTGCTCCTGTCTGGGCCTATCAAGGCCACCACGCAGCCCTTGCACCTGGTCCTCGGGGATCACGAAGAGGCCATCCAGTTTTACATTGCTTCGGGCCTGCATTTCCCCGTGGTCCTGGGCTTGGCTTGGCTGCGGGTGCATGACCCTCAGATTTATTGGTCCCAGAACCTGGTGACGTTTCCGTCCCTGCAATGTGTCGACCACACCTGTCACGTCTGTGCAGGCCAGGTGCTCAGTTCGCCCGGGGTGTCCTTGCTGCCGGACTTAGCGGAGTTCGTGGATGTCTTCAGTGAGCAGGGGGCAGACCAAATGCCGCTGCACCAACCTTATGACTGCCCCATTGACTTGGTACTGGACGCGAAGCTCCCTGTGGGTCGCCTGTACTCCATGTCCGAACCGGAGTTGGCCACATTGCAGGACTTTCTGGACAAGAACCTCGCCCGGGGTTTTATCCGTCCCTCGTCTTCACCATTGTCTGCCCCGGTCATGTTCATCAAAAAGAAGACTGGGGATCCGAGACTGTTGCAATTATCGTTGCTTGAACGCCATCACGGTGCGCAACTGTTACCCGCTGCCCCTGATTCCTGAGTTTTTGGAGCGGCTCTGGGAGGCGACGGTGTTCACGAAACTGGACTTGCGTGGCGCTTATAACTTGGTCCGAGTCCGGGAGGGGGACGAGTGGAAGACGGCCTTCGGCACCCGGTACGGACATTTTGAGTACACAGTCATGTCGTTTGGATTGACCAATGCCCCAACAGTCTTCCAGCAATTTATGAACGATATCTTCCGGGACCTCTTGGATCAGTTTGTCGTCATTTACCTGGATGACATTTTGATTTACTCGACTTCTCAGAAGGATCATCTGCAGCACCTATGCCTGGTCATGCAACGACTCCGGGAGCATCGTTTGTTCGCAAAACTGGAGAAGTGTCAGTTCTGGCAGACTACCATCGAGTTCCTGGGGCACTGTACCCACCCTGAAGGAATTGTGATGGAGCCGGGCAAGGTAGAGGCATTGCGCAATTGGCAACCTCCTCGGTGAGTGAAGGAGGTCCAGCGACTCCTCGGGTTTGCCAACTACTACCGGAATTTCATCCCTAGCTTCGCTTTCCTGACCGTCCCCCTCACTTGGCTCCTGCAGAAGAAAGTGCCGTTTCGCTGGGGGCCCATGGAGCAACACACGTTCGAGGCCCTGAAGCACGCCTTCACGAAGGAGCCCATCCTGAAGCACCCTGATCCCCATCGTCCGCTTGTGGTGGAGGCGGACGCGTCTGACATCGCAGTGCATGCGATGTTACTGCAGGCTCACGCCCCTAGCAGTACCCATTTCCCTTGCGCTTTCTTCTCACGGAAACTCAATCCTTCCGAGCGCAATCACACCATCTGGGAGAAGAAGTTACTGGCCATTAAGGTGGTGTTTGAGGCCTGGAGGCATCACCTGGAGGGGGCCAGGCATCAAGTCGAGGTCCAGACGGACCATAGGAATCTAGAGTTCCTGACAACGGCGCGCAAGTTGAACCAGGGCCAGATCCGGTGGTCTCTGTTCTTTGCCCGGTTCAACTTCAGAGTGACCTACATTCTGAGTGCGCAAACCCAAAGGGTGGATGCCATGTCCCGGAAACAGGAGTACTCTGACACTGCAGACTGGCTTCCACCCCGGACAGTTTTGCCCGTCGAATACTTTGGTGCAGTTCACGAGCCTGTGGACTTACGGTCTCAGATAGCAATAGCAATAGCAATAGCAA